TTATTTCTGTTATGTTTTTTGTGCAGCTGTAACTGATTTTTACGTTATTTTTGTTAAATATTTTTGATAATTTGTTTGCTTCAGTGAAGAAAATTTAAAAAAATTAATCAGTTTTTCTGACGATCGCTAAAGCGTGAAACCCAGGGTCACAAACTCACATCTATCCAACCAAATATGTTAGCTTTATCTCTGATACTGAGCGCTTTCTAATAAGTACCGCGCATATAATATATAAATAATTATACATATTTATTTATATTTATACACACACACACACACACACACACACACACACATATATATATATATATGTATACCGGGTGTAACAGCAAAATTTTCTAAATCGGGTAACAGCGAAATTGTCCAATTTTTACATTAAGCTTTGAAACGGTGTAACTTAAAAATGCTTAAAGATATATTACTGGAATTCTCCGAGGTTTTTATAACCCTGTTGGACTTTACGTTGAACAAGCTGACTTGTCAAGACACCTGATACACATGTTAATAAAATGAAATAATTCCTAATGATAAATTTGCATATTATCATGATCATCTAATCTCAGATATTTCCTGGACTTTTTCAGATCCAGGCTGCTTAAAGCGGCGTATCAGATTATTTTTGGACTTCAATTCCTGGTAATTGATTCTGGAATTATGCGAAAATTGCGAAACACGGAACTGTCTATGAAATTTGCTTCCTGGTATTCGCTGGAGATATATATCTCCTTTAACGAAGATTTCTTCCCTGGTGGTATCTTTTTACTCCGCACGAGCAGGGATTTCACTGCCTAAACATATTCCTCTTGGATTTTGAAATACATTTACATGCGGACAGGATGCGTAAAACAGACTACAATAGTATTTTATCTTTTCTGGTGTGGGTTGGGTGGTTTGGTTTGTTTTACGGCATATCTACCTCAATGGGTTATTTAATGTCAACAGTTTTTTTATTGCTGGCAATATGTTTTCTTTCAAAAATCTATTTCTGGGAATATTTTTTCTTTCAGAAAATCTATATCTGGTAATATTTTTTTTCAAAGAATGTATAGCTGTTTGTATAGCTAGTCCTTTTTTTTTTTTTAAAAAGTATTGCTGATAATTTTTCCTTAAAAAATTATTGCTAGAAATATCTTTTTTTTTTATTACAAAGTATTTCTGGTATTAAAACCTATTTTTACACAAGTTTTGGTATCAACTATTTGCCCATTGCTGGTACCCTAACAATCGCTAAAACCCCGGGTCAGGGTGGACCTACGAACGCCAGCAATTAAGAAGTGGTTCCACGATCCTCAAAACCACCTGGTCAGAGGCCTTGTTGTTGGACGTAGTTCATCGTCTTACCCAGGACGTGGATGTAGTTTATCGTCATACCCAAGACGGGGTGATGTGGGTGGGAGAGCCGGACATGTGCAACTGCGAAAATAATTATTTATGAGAAGCTCATCCACTTTTATTTTTAAAAAAAAAATGAAAGAAGATATTTTCTAATCTCAGCCAAGTATGGAACAAGGTCATATTAAAGGGCGCTTTCAGAAGTGTAGTCCAAAATCTGTCACAAAAATTAACAGTCGACTTTTTACTTGTGAAGATTGAAATTTTGGAAATATATATATATATATATATATATATATATATATATATATATATATATATATATATATGCATACAAGACATATATATATGAATAAAATACCTTTTAAATATAAATGTGTGTCTGTGTGTGCATACGATACATATAAATAAATGCGTATGAATAAAAGGTGAGCGAGACAAAAATATATTGTTGAACAAAATATTCCACAGGAACATACCGAGAAAAAAAAGAATATGGAAGACAATCGATACTTAAAAGGCGATAAATTCCATTAACGAATTCATTTAACTCCAAGTGAGACGTTTGACTCTGAAATCACTGAAACAGACGGCGATGTTAATAGTAACGGTGATGCCAATATTAGCTGTTTCCCTATAAGGAAACATTTAGCATATATTGACCAAGCAGCCAGAAATGTTGAAACTGCTGGTTCATCTTAATATATTATTATGGAACCTTCGTGTTCGATAAAATAAACGAGTTTACTCTTGAAACACTATGTCCCGAAGTTAAGCAACATTGTACTAGTCAGTACCAATATGAGTGACCGCTTAGAAATACCAGGCGCTGTAAGCTTAGATGTTGAATGCTATGATAGATAATGGCTCGGGATTATTAATCGGAGAGTCGAGTTCTATTCCAGTTGGCTTCTTTATATTCACTTACACACAAATATCGTTTGGAAAGCTATAAATCTATTTCTTCTCCCCTATGTATGGGTTAATTATTAAGACTTTTTCACTAAATTATTATGCTGCCCCCCCCCACCAACAAATTCTTTAATATTTAAAAAAAAATTTTAAATTTTAAAAATATTTTCTGGCTTTAAATAAACCAAAATGGATTGATAAACCGTAAGAAACGAATCAAGGAAGCAAAAGAACGGAGTATCAAAAGGACGTTTATTTACAAGATTATAAAAATATTTACAATATTATGAATATATATAAAGCAAGTACAATACAATATTTATTATTTGCCTTTTATAAAGATTTACCACTTATCATTTTATGGGAAAGCCAATTTGATAAGATATATTTTTATTAAAAATTTATATATAATTACTAAATTATCAAAATATTTAAACCATCGGCAAGATTCGCTGTAAAAATTACATATATTCTGTAATTAAACAATTGAAACTTGGATTCGATGAATAGGTAGATACACCCTCAAAATATTAAGTGTGGTCTCGCCTAAAATCTAAAATTAAAAGAATGTTTGGATCAGAGCAATTGATACTCTCAACTCATTTTAGTGAATTTATGTGATGAAATCGAATGAAAGAAAAGTCCGAAAAATACCCTATGTTTTTTTTTCAAAATGTATTCTTCTGGATGGGGGAGGCAGTCAAAAGAAGAAAAAAACATGAACTTGCATAGTTTATCTACAATTTTCTTACCGATGTAGAATAATCTATCCAAAATATGTAAATAATAAGAGTAATGATCGTTATGTCTACTGCAAGTTTTTCCACATCAGAATCTATTTTGCACTTTTATAAATCTGCCATTCGACTGTGCATTGAATACCGTTGCCATATCTAGTCTGGTGCTCCTGCCGCATATCTCAAGATTCTTGACACAATCGAAACAAGGATCTTTAATTTAATCGATCCTGAGCAGGCATCCCGACTTCAGTCACTTTCTCACCGACGTGACGTGGCTTCACTCTATCTTTTCTACCGGTTTCTGATATTTGTCAATGATCCTCCCGATGTCATCATTTCCCAAGGATTTACGCAGATGACACGACAATTCATTCCTGTCTTAGTAGCATATCCGACAGATCTGACAAAGTAAACACGACAAATGCGTTTGAAAAGGACCACCAATCAGTGGTTAACTGGGACAAGAAATGGCTTGTAAATTATAACACTTAAAAAAAAAACCCAAAAAAAACCGTTTTCATTTAATCACCACAGTGAATCTCCAGGAAAGCAACACTCTACTGCCTTAACCGAGTATTGAACTCACACTCTTTGGGTCCTGTCACTGGATCTGGTGTCATTTTCCAAGATTGTCCAACGCAAAAATTGCATTCCAAATGTGCATATATTATAGAAAATCTTCATTCTTTTCCATATTAGTACACATACTTTTAAATGGATTATTTTTATAGAGGACTTTTACATATTTAATCGTATTAAAAAATGGTGATGGATTTTTAAACTTGAATACATGGATAGTAATTTGTGTTTATTTATAACTAATTATTAATTATATAAACCGAAGCATACTCAAATGAAATAAAAGTTCGATAGAATTCCAGTGTATTTGAATTCAATAAACAAAATGTTCAATAATGGTTTAAGGCGGACCTATATTGAATATAAGGTTTATCCTACCGTCTATTTTCAGACTCATGATGGGCTCAAAATTCTGTAAATAAAAAACAAGACAAAGTGAAACATTTTTCTTCTCCGTCCGGGGCAGTAAAATTCCCCCCACACCTTGGGGGGAACTCCTCTATTTGAGAATTCCTGGTCTAAATAGATATAAATCTTTCAGTCTTTCTGTTTATCCACAGTCTACGTTTGTTCATACCTATCGATATAGCTTCGTACCTATCTAGTTCTCAGTGTTCATTATTCATATAAACTTTTTCATTTTCTATCTATCTATCTATCTATCTATCTATCTATGGGAGAGTTTACTTTGGTATCTATATATCTATCTATGTTCTATATCAGTCTGTTCATTATCTATTTATCTATCTATCATCTTACTGTCAGCGTAATTTGTAGTACACAGACGTATCTCAGGTTACATCCATTTTTTTATATCTTCAACAGTGAAATTAATAACCAGCCTAGATTGGAAAGTCTTTTTTTTTTAATCGTTTCACCCCAAGCAAGGCGAGAAGCCACTAGGACGCAAGGGGTTACAGAAAATAGCAAGATCAGATAGGAGTGATAGAAGAAAGGATGAGGGTAGTGGATAGATTAAGGCAACTGGAGATGTCGATTGACATTACACTTGAATAGCTGGAGATTATAGCTCACAGGGAAACAGGAGAAGGGAAGGGAGTTCCACAGGCGAGAGGTGCGAGACATGAAGCTATTAGAGTAGAAGAGACGGCTACATTTAGGAGTTTCGACAGTGAAGGGGTGAGAGTGGGATGCCAGCCTCGTAGGGCGCTGGAACTCATGATGTCTGGGAACCAGCGAATGCAGCTCCTCGGAGCAATTTCCATGAAAGTATTTGTAGAACAGACAGTGGGAGGCGACAGCGCGTCTGTGAGAAAGTGTCTTACTAAGGAAATATAGTACCTCTGACAGGAATCTAAACTGTCTATCTTTTATCCATTAGGGAAATCTTCTGTAGCCGAAATATATCTATTCATAACTGTTTCTTCTTATCTTTCTATGTATATAACTATTTATCCTCTACGTCTCTTCACATAT